GGGTCCCATTCCTCCCCATCTTCCAAAAAGTCATTTTTGATGGGTTTGACGTTCAGTAGTAATGGGATGGAGGAGTCTTTTGTAGGGTGGTGTTACGCATTACAGCTACTGGAACACATCCCTTGAGATGTTATAGTGCAGGGAACAAAACCTCAATTGTCAGCATGTGTGGGCACGCTGGCAAAAATCCCAGGAATCTGGATATGCTCAGATTCATGGGCAATGCCTTCGCCATGCCCTTTCAACCTCCAGTCTGCATAATGACCAGTGATTCCGGGGATATGGCATGAGAGGCATGCTGTCATTCCTTCAAGCACCCCTCTCATTCTTGCGATGTCTTCCATTTGCCACATTTCAGAGCTTACTGGGCACAAAGGGGCCATTCTGGCACATTGTTGGTGTGGACACACCATGGGGAGGAACTTCCGAAGGGCCTTCTTGTGTACGCATACATTTACAAACAGTATAGCTAGACTGTTTTGACCCTATTAGCTCTGTTAATCAAGTTTCCATAGGTTAGTGGTTCTCAACCTCAGCCATGGATTGAGGTTCTTGGTTTGAGCCTGCCACTTTTGGACTCTCGCTTGCTGAGGTCTTCCAGCAAGTGTCTCTGTAGATCTTAGAAAACTATTTCTTGATTTAAGTCGTTGATGTGCTAGCTGATACCCAAACAGGGGGTGGGCTGGAGATGTCACTGCCTTGGTCCTTTGCAGGTGGGTGATCCACTATGATAGCAGTTCTCAACCTGTAGGTCCCCAGGTGCTTTGTCCTACATCTCCCAGAAACCCCAGGCAGTATATCGTCTGTTATGATTTCCAATTCTGGGCACCACAATTCAAGAGAGATATTGACAAGCTGGAATGTGTCCAGAGGAAAGCGATTAAATGATAAAGGGTCTGGAGAACAAGCCCTATGAGGAGTGGCTTAAGGAACTGGGCATGTTTAGCCTGAAGAAGAAGGCTGAGAGGAGATATGATAGCCATGTATAAATATGTGAGAGGAAGCCACAGGGAGGAGGGAGCAAGCTTGTTTTCTGCTTCCTTGGAGACTAGGACGCAATGGAACAATGGCTTCAAACTACAAGAGAGGAGATTCCATCTGAACACGAGGAAGAACTTCCTGACGGTGAGAGCCGTTCAGCAGTGGAACTCTCTGCCCCGGAGTGTGGTGGAGGCTCCTTCTTTGGAAGCTTTTAAACAGAGGCTGGATGGCCATCTGTCAGGGGTGATTTGAATGCAATATTCCTGCTTCTTGGCAGGGGGTTGGACTGGATGGCCCATGAGGTCTCTTCCAACTCTTTGATTCTATGATTCTATGATTATTTTACCTTCAAGTGATTTAACACACACAAACATATGTATTTTCCATCTCATTACAGACTGAATTGAACTGAATCACCCACCCATATACCCTTACAAACATGCACTCTTTTAAACTACATATCTTATGATTTCCCCATAATTAGAAACGTCTCCTAAATAAGCTTGAACCATCATGTGTGTTTACAACAGTAAACCACTCATCCTGTAAGTACACGGAGCTTACATAAAATCCATAAGTGTCATTTAAAACGTTTGGTTGCTCACTATAGAATTATCAGTGTAGATGCAAAGTGCAATTACGAAATCTATGGATTTCCATTTGTGTGTCTCTGTATACAAGTGAGGACTCCGATAAAGACCATCTGATGTAATGCACACCACAATCCAAACACAAGGATTGGTATAATTTGCAGGCAGAGCAGTGATCCCAACCTAGCAAAGTTTACTCACTGCTGAGACCCGCCTCGCAGCGGTCAGAAGCCTTTTTGGTTCATTGCATCTGTGACGTTCTGTTGCGCTAGCAGATGACTTTTCCCAGGCTTGTGCATTGGCAGCGAGGAAGGCAGAAGTTTTTATTGGGCGGGGAAGGTTGCCAGTTACAAGGAGCCTGTTTCTTTAGTGCCAGGCTTTGGGGTGAGATCTTGGGAACCAATGTGTAAAATAAATACTGGTTTGGAAAAGCCTTTATCTTCGTAGAACAGTGGTCCTCAACCTGTGGATCCCCAGATGTTTTGGCCTTCAACTCCCAGAAACCCTAACAGCTGGAGTTGTAGGCCAAAACACCTGGGTACCCACAGGTTGAGAACCACTGTAGTAGAAGGGCAACTCAGTGTTCCATTGTTTGGCAGTAATAAACCATGTCTTACAGTTACGTATTTGAGATAAGTAAACCATGGTTTTGGCTGTATGTCTGAACAGAGATGGCACAACAAGAACAACGTGTGCCCTTCCTTTCCTCCTATGCGACAGACTGGTACTTACTTATGTAGGCAATCCCTCGTCCAAGTAGGATTGTCTTCCAAGGTCAGTGTACTGGCGGTGGGTCCGTAGGTGACTGTGGAGCCCTATTCTTGATCTGCATCTTCTCTTGCAGTGAGGGCATCGGTTTCCAGGTGGAAGGCAATCCCGGTCTGGGTTGGCTTGACGTGCCTTCCACTTGGCACGTTTCTCTTTTTCGCCCTCCATTCGTGCCTCTCCCAATTCTACAGCACTGCTGGTCACAGCTGACCTCCTGCTGGAGCGCTCAAGGGCCAGGGCTTCCCAGTTCTCGGTGTCTATGCCAGAATTTTTAAGGTTGGCTTTGAGCCCATCTTTAAATCTCTTTTCCTGCCCACCAACATTCCATTTTCTGTTCTTGAGTTCGGAGTAGAGCAACTGCTTTGGGAGACAGTGGTTGGGTATCAAGACAACGTGGCCGGTCCAGCAGAGTTGTTGATGGAGGACCATTGCTTCGATGCTGGTGGTCTTTGCTTCTTCCAGCATGCTGACATTTGTCCGCTTGTCTTCCCAAGAGATTTGCAGGATTTTCTGGAGGCAGTGCTGATGGAATCGTTCCAGGAGTTGCATGTGATGTCTGTAGATAGTCCACGTCTCGCAGGTGTATAGCAGGGTTGGGAGGACAATAGCTTTATAAACAAGCACCTTGGTATCCCTACAGATTTCCCAGTCCTCAAACACTCTCTGCTTCATTCAGAAAAAAGCTGCACTCACAGAGGTCAGGCGGTGTTGTATTTCAGTGTCAATATTGACCAATATTAACGGCACTCCATGCAGTCATGCCGGCCACATGACCATGGAGGTGTCTACGGACAACGCTGGCTCTTCGGCTTAGAAATGGAGATGAGCACCACACCCCAGAGTCAGACATGACTGGACTTAATGTCAGGGGACTACCTTTATCTTTACTATTGACCTTTGTGGAGAGGTGGCTGCCAAGGTAGCAGAAATGGTCGACATTTTGTAATGTTACACCATTAAGCTATATTTCTGGCATTGGAGAGGGATTGGCTGGTGACTGCTGGAAGAGAACTTCGGTTTTCTCGATGTTCAATGACAGGCCGAGCTTCTCATATGCTTCTGCGAAGTTGTTTAGAGTGGTAAAACGCTGGACAGACTAAAAACTTTTGAGGGTTTTTGTTGGGTGTCACCAGGGTGATCAAAAATCACTTCCATTTAGGAACTGTTTTGTTGCTGTGAGCCTTCAAAGTCATTTCTGATTTACGACAACCTGTGATGCTGGGGTTTTGTTTGTTTGGTTGCAATATACCTTTAGAGAAGGTCTGCTGTTGCTCACCTCGGACAAAGCAGGATTTGAATCCTTTATTCTCCCAGACTCCGGTGTGACTTCAAAGTGGTTGACTGTTTCAAATGGGGTTGTAAACTGGGTTTTTGGAAATGCATCAGTCCACAGCAGTGGTTCCCAAGGTCCGTGAACCACCAGTGGTCCACAAGAATGAAAATACGGTTCATGACCTCACCATTATTACTACTACTACAGAAACCACATGGCAGCGAGAGCAACTGGTCTTGCGAAACCGTCTTATAGTGCCAAGACAACAGGGATGTCGGAAGGGGTAGAGGCTGACTACCCATGAGAGATTACTAGTACCATATCAGCTCTAGATTATCCAATATGGTTTTCTGTGAATGAGCAGACGGCGACTAGTGGGTGGCTTATGTTCTGTATCAGAAACTAGAGCTGATGTGGTCTATCCAATGCAATTTTCTGAATCTGCAACCCAAATAACCAAACTGAATTCAAAGTTGACCAAAAACTGATTCATAATCCTTTTGGTACTAATGTTGGAGAGCGGTCCCTGGTCAAAGTGGTCCCTGGTCCAAAAAAGGTTGGGAACCACTGGTCTACAGCATGGCATGTAAATCCCCATGTCTCAAGTTATGCATGAATTCTGATACATAATCATAGAATCATAGAATCAAGAGTTGGAAGAGACCTCATGGGCCATCCAGTCCAACCCCATTCTGCCAAGAAGCAGGGATATTGCATTCAAATCACCCCTGACAGATGGCCATCCAGCCTCTGTTTAAAAGCCTCCACCACACTCCAGGGCAGAGAGTTCCACTGCTGAACAGCTCTCACAGTCAGGAAGTTCTTCCTCATGTTCAGATGGAATCTCCTCTCTTGTAGTTTGAAGCCATTGTTCCGCGTCCTAGTCTCCAAGGGCAGCAGAAAACAAGCTTGCTCCCTCCTCCCTGTGACTTCCTCTCACATATTTATACATGGCTATCATGTCTCCTCTCAGCCTTCCTTCTTCAGGATAAACATGCCCAGCTCCTTAAGCCGCTCCTCATAGGGCTTGTTCTCCAGACCCTTGATCATTTTAGTCGCCCTCCTCTGGACACATTCCAGCTTGTCAATATCTCTCTTGAATTGTGGTGCCCAGAATTGGACACAATATTCCAGGTGTTGTCTAACTTGTGTTGAATGTCAGTGTTGTACAACTTGAATCAAGGTACTGAATGTGCAGCTGAATGCACAACCCACGGCATGCATGCATGTTTTGTACAATCTTGAACAGAGTGTAGTGATTTCTGGTCAGACAGAAACATCAGACTACCTCTATAAGGAAACCATAAGATACCTGTGGGGTACCAGCTTTAATTCCAAACGTCTAGGCTACTGGACATACCATTTCACACCTCTCTTTCTCTTTGCAGGTGCGAATCATGGATGGATGGTGACTTAGGAAAGTGCTGAGGATGAAAATCATTGAATGGAGATGAAATTACTGCGGCCGGCACTTGGATGTGTTCTGAGGGGCTTTCCTGGATGTCTGTGTTAATTTAGGTAAGCCATTATCTTGTGTCTACTATTCTCCCTTGGAGGAAAAATAAAGGAACTCAAATAACTATGAAGAATGTGCTCTTGTTTAAATTGCTTTCAGGGTTGTTTATGTCATCAAGAATGTGTGGCTTTCCCCCTTTAAATCCAAAGTGGGACTAAAGTGGCTCAACAGACTTTGTGAACTGTAACTTCCAGTGTAACGTACCACATCATTGGCTATGATGACTGGAACTGGGATTTGTAGTCCAACCATATCTAGAGAACTCAAGATTCTTATCCTTCTCTCAGGCAGTAGTTTTATTGTGTTGGGTTCATTGTGTGCTCTGAAATTTGGGCCACTTGCATGTCTTGTAGGAGACACTGCAGTGTCAGAGCAGAAGGAGAGTTGTCTGGAATTGTGATGCGTTGTGTTTGTTCTACATGAGAATTGTAATTATGAATATGTTGGAAGTTACTCCTTCTAACATTGGTTTAAAAGGGTTAGGATGACTTACTGCTTAAGCTGCTAAATGTATATTAATTGAATGCTTCCCTCAAATTCCACAAAGTCTAAAAATCTAAAAATCATACATAACAACAATGTGTAATGGTTGTGGTGCACCCAAATACACCCAGAAAAGGGACTCAGAGTGGCTTACAAGTAATATGTAAATACACCGTATTATATTATTAGCATAGCACAATATTAGTGTTATATATTACTATATTGTACTATGCAATTATTCTGTAATATTATTAGTAATATTAGATGTAATATAAAATATATAATTATAATATACTAGCGGTCCCCTGCCAGGTGTTGCTGTGGCCCAGTCTGGTGATCTGGAAAATAAAGTAATGAGAAAGTGTTGGTTTCTAATATATGTAATGTCTTTATGTTTGTGGGTAAACAGTATTTCTTGCTGTTTCTTTGCCAGTGTTGATGTGGAGATTGTCTGGTTTGCCTACTCTGGAACATGCAACATATCATTGTCCTTCTTGAGGGGTCCCTTTCAAATCTTTGATATTGCATCTGTCATATACATATATGTGTGTGTGTGTGAATGGCTGGATGGCCCTTTGTCAGGAGGGCTTTGATTATGTTTTCTTGCCCTGGTGAAGGGAGTTGGACTGGATGGCCTTAAGGCAGCATTTCTCAACCTGGGGTTTGGGACCCCTGGGGGGGGGGGTTGCGAGGGGGTGTCAGAAGGGCTGCCAAAGACCACCAGAAAACACAGTATTTTCTGTTGGTCATGAGGGTTCTGTGTGGGAAGTTTGCCCCAATTCTGTCATTGGTGGGGTTCAGAATGCTCCTTGATTGTAGGTGAACCATAAATCCCAGCAATGACAACTCCCAAATGTGAAGGTCTATTTCCCCCAAACTCCATCTGTGTTCATATTTGGGCATATGGAATATTTGTGCCAAGTTTGGTATAGATCCTTCATAGTTTGAGTCCGTAGTGCTCTCTGAATATAGGTGATCTACAACTCCCAAACTCAAGGTCAATGCCCACCAAAACCCTTCCAGTATTTTCTGTTGGCCATGGGAGTTCTGTGTGCCAGGTTTGGTTCAATTCCATCATTGGTGGAGTTCAGAATGCTCTCATTGTAAGTTAAATATAAATCCCAGCAACTACAACTCCCAAATGACAAAATCATAATTTTTTGAGTGATGGTCACTTCTTGTGTTGTGAGATGTTTTGTTGCCAAATTTGGTGTAATTTCGTTCATGGGTTCTTTTGTTTTTAAGGAACTCATTATGCACAGAGCATTTATATATATAGATAGATAGATAGATTATTATTATTATTAGTAGTAGTAGTAGTAGTAGTAGTAGTAGTATATTGTATTACATTATAAAATCATGTATATTATATTATATTATTAGCACAGCACAGAAGACAAGGTGGAACTGTCTTCCTGGCCCCTCTCTTCACTCTGGTTCCAGAGCAGACACAGAGGCATACAGAGAACAAGCCCTATGAGGAGCGGCTTAAGGAGCTGGGCATGTTTAACCTGAAGAAGAGAAGGCTGAGAGGAGATATGATAGCCATGTATAAATATGTGAGAGGAAGCCACAGGGAGGAGGGAGCAAGCTTGTTTTCTGCTTCCTTGGAGACTAGGACGCGGAACAATGGCTTCAAACTACAAGAGAGGAGATTCCATCTGAACACGAGGAAGAACTTCCTGACTGTGAGAGCTGTTCAGCAGTGGAACTCTCTGCCCCGGAGTGTGGTGGAAGCTTTTAAACAGAGGCTGGATGGCCATCTGTCAGGGGTGATTTGAATGCAATATCCCTGCTTCTTGGCAGAATGGGGTTGGACTGGATGGCCCATGAGGTCTCTTCCAACTCTATGATTCTATGATTCTAGGGAGTAAGAGAGCAGGAGTGCGTAGGTTTGCTATATGATTGCTCCCCAAAATTAAAAAAAGATTGAAGGACATAATTGTGGCCAAGTATCTGGGTATGCATTCAGTGTTGAACATATGCCATATGACCTTGAAAGTAGGCCCACCATGAGCCTCAGGGGCACCAGGATGCTGTGCACCATTCCTGGGTGCAAGCAAATGCAATAGGAACATTAGAAGGATCACCAAATACTAAAGGGACCACCCTGGACTTTTTGGCTAATGATCTGAATTTCAAAGGAAGCTTTCAACCACATCAGAAAAGCAGTTGCAGCAACAGTGAATATGGAAGGGGGGTGACTCTAAGGCAGGGAGGGGAGAGATCAGCAGGGGTTCAGTTTTAAATAGGAACAGCACCAGAGAACAGTTTTGTTGGTGAAATGAGTCCCTTATGAGAGCTTTCATCCTAAATACTTGCACATGGGAGGGCCCAAATACCCCAAAGGCACCAGTTCCCATCTGATTTTGGAGAGCAAGCAGGGTCAGCTATCAGATGTACTTGGATGGGAGACCACCAATGAAGTTTCAGAAGCAGGAACAGGTAAAACCACCTTTTAGGATTCCTTACCTAAGAAAACCCTGTCAAATTTAGAGGGTCACCATAAGTTCAACAGGTGACATGGAAACATGTTCAAACACACTGTACCTCAGCCCACCTCATGGGGTTTTCTTAGGCAAGCCATGTGTTGATGGCCAAGGTTGAGTACTCTTTATCCAAAATACTTGAGGCATAAAATGTTCTATATTTTGGATCTGAAGTGGATTTTCTGGAGAAGGGATACTCATCCTATTCCATATGTTGCACTAGACCAGTGTTTCTCAACTTTCTTAATGTCGCGATCACTTAATACAGTTCCTCATGTTATGGTGACCCCCAAACATAACATTATTTTCGTTGTTACTTTTATGAAACCATAATGTAAATATCTAATATGCAGGATGTATTTTCATTCACTGGACCACATTTGGCACAAGTACCCAATACGCCCAAATTTGAATACTGGTGGGGTTGGTGGGGATTTACTTTTGTCATTTGGGAGTTGTAGTTGCTGGGATTTGTAGTTCACCTACATTCTGAACTCTACCAACGATGGAATTGAACCAAACTTGGCACACAGAATTCCCATGATGAACAGAAAATACTAGAAGGGTTTGGTGGGCATTGACCTCGAGTTTTGGAATTGTAGTTCACCTACATCCATAGAGCGCTGTGGACTCGAAAACAATGATTGATCTGAACCAAATTTGAGTCGTAGTCACTGGATTTTATAGTTAACCTACAATCAAGGAGCATTCTGATATCTACCAACGATAGAATTGAAGCAATCTTGGCATACAAAACTCTCATGACCAACAGAAAATACTGGAAGGGTTTGGTGGGCATTGACCTTGAGTTTTGGAGTTGTAGTACAACTACACCCGGAGAGCACTGTGGACTCAAATAATGATAGATCAGGATGAACTTTGACATGAATACTCAATATGCCCAAATGTGAACACTGGCAGAGTTTGGGGAAAATAGAATCTTGACATTTGGGAGTTGTAGTGGCTGGGATTTATAGTTCACCTACAATCAAAGAGCATTCTGAACCCCACCAACGATAAATTGGGCCAAACTTCCCACACAGAACTACCATGTCTTGAAGGGACTCACAGGCATGAGCCTCCCTCCAGGTTCTCATGCTTTCCTTTACCCGTGCATATGCACCACACTGCCATGCACTGAGCATGCCTGCTCTCCCCTCCCCGCTTGGAGACTCAGAAACAGCCCTCACCTTGGCTGTGACGCCAGCCAATCACAGTGGAGGAGGGCTTTTGGTGGGAGGATTCGCTGTGTGTTTCCAAAAAACAAGAGAATGATAAGCAGAGAGATCTTCAAGCCTTTTCTGTCAAAGAGGTTCCTAAGACCATCAGAAATATGTGTTTTCTAATGGTCTTTGATGACTCCTCTGAAACCCCCTCGTGCCCCCCCCCCCAGGAATCCCGACTCCTAAGTTGCAAAACACTGATTTTGGACAAGCGCAGTGGATTCAAATTGAATGAAAAGAGATTCCAACAAAACATTAGGAAGAACTTCCTGATGTTAAGAGTTGTTTCACAGTGGAGTGTGGTGGAGTCCTCTCCAAAGGTTTCGAGTTGTTTCACATTGGAGTGTGGTGGAGTCTCCTCCTCTGAAAGTTTTTAAGCAGAGACTGGATGGCCATCTGTCAGGGTGACAGGGAGTTGGACTGTATGGGCCTTGTAGAGATCTTCAAGCCTTCTCTGCCAAAGAGGTTCCTCAGATCATCAGAAATGCATGTTTTCTGATGGTTTTTGGTGACCCCTCTGAAACCCCCTCGTGACCCCCCCCCCCCCAGGGATCCGACCCATAAGTTGGAAAACACTGATCTAGGACAAGCAGTGGATTCAAACTGAATGAAAAGAGATTCCAACGAAACATTAGGAAGAACTTCCTGATGGTAAGAGCTGTTTCACAGTGGAGTGGAGTGGAGTCTCCTTCTCCGAAAGTTTTTAGGCATAAGCTGGATGGATATCTGTCAGGATGACAGGGAGTTGGACTGTATGGGCCTTGTAGAGATCTTCAAGCCTTCTCTGCCAAAGAGGTTCCTCAGATA